GACGAAAAAATATCTCGCAGTATTATATTAAAATTATTCTAAACGATATTTCTCGAAGTATAGCTAAAAAAGACAAGAGATGCAAAAAACTAGGGTTTAACGAGGTGGGTCCAATCCAATAAAACCCCACCGGGTTTTATTGGAATACGGAACAAATATTTTAAGACTTCACCACGTAATAGAATTATTTTTTATGAATTTACAAAAAATGAATTTACAAAAAAAAAAGATGGGGCTCAAAGACTGAGCGGATCGATTTGGCATAGAAATAAAATGCTTCTTATACAGATATATGTGCGTATTAATTAATTAATTAAATTAAATTAATTAAATTAAAATTAATTTATAATATAATTATCAATTATATTATATTGAATAGCAAATCTTGCAAACCATTAGTATTACTAACTATAAAGAATAAAAATACATAAAAACCCAGAAAAACCCAATAAAACCCCCAAAAACCCGGGTTTTTTCAAACCCTGAAAAAAAAAAACGGTCTACTTGTTTGATACAAATGCTCTGAAATATTTTTTGATTGATTAATTATTAGTAAAATTCTTTCTTCTGATTCGTTAATCAAGTGCTCCGAAGCATTTGATAAGCTACTAAATGTGCACGTGAAAAGCTCACCGAGCAGCTGTTTCGACGAGCAGCCGCAAGCAAGCCATTTAAATATGTCGAAGGAAAAAAAATTCCTATCGCAGGAATGTTTCATACGCGGTCGGCGCGCTTGGAGCCTCGGTGATGTGATGACCGGTGATTTTACGAGAAATTCTCCTGTACAGTTAATCGGCCGATGCGTGTCGTACAATGTCCGCTTCTTCCTATGTGTTAGCGCATTTAACCTGTACTGTTAATTAGTATGCCCTGTCGTATTCTATCAATTCAGACGTACGAATCAGATTCAAAAGAATATCAGCAGGCAAATACCACAAGTTTCTCGATTTTCTCACATCGTATGGATACACCACACACACATATGTGTATGTATTATATATATATATATAGAATATTTCTGAAATAACGCCCACTAATTATATAGGGCTATTCTCAATAAAAAATTGAATCAAAAAGTCCTCTTATCATTTTGCAATTTTTGCAATATTTTTTTAGTGACCCACTGAGCATAATATCTAAACTCGACATATAAGACAACTTTTAAGATATCTTTAAGAGTTCTTTAAAAAACATCTTCTAAATGTTTTACAAAGAACACTGAAAAATATCTTAAAATTGTCTTATACATCGATTTTATCCGTTTATTCGACAACCTTTAGAAATTAATATCTCGTTAACTATTGCGAAAATTATAAAATGGTATAGGACTTTTCAATTCAGTGTTTTATTAGGAATAGCACTATATGATTAGTGGACGTTATTTCAGAAACACCTTTATACATATATATATCCAAGTAAATGTACAGATATTTGCGATAAGATATGAACGCAGGCGTATGACTCTCCCCTTAAATTTTTTTCGTACGTTCTTCATCGGATCTTATAAAACTTTCGCGAATTATATTGCAATAAACTATTATGTATAATGATTTTTTAAACTATATCAAGTAGCATTTCAATTAAAAATAAAATAAACGAAGGATAAAATGTTCTGATGTAAATAGGGAATAGAATTTATTTATTTGTAAAACAAAATACGTAAGATGTAATAATCTAATAGATATTTCTACCAACATGGTCTTTGACCAATTTCAATTAATAATAGATAAACATAATTAATGATATTGTACAAATTCGTCAAGTCGATAATTTGAATTTAGAATGAGCGCAACCAACGTTATCTTAAAGAGTTATCGTTTACGACTCGTAGATAACAAAAATTTAGTAATTTATATTTTATTCATTATGTGAATAATATTTCATGTTTCTGCAAACAAAGAAAGAAAGTCTAAATATGAAAATTATAAGTTGCTAGAATTGTTAATTAATTTGTTGGTCACAGACAACATCTTGTTAAAAAAAAAAATGAAAAAAATAAAAGAGAAAGAAATTGGAGAGTACGACTTTCATTGTTTTCATGCCTCTCATATTTCCTTCCGTTTTGAGTTTATGGAATCGCATTGCCGTCATAAAACATTATTCGAAATGAAACTTTGCGTAAGCTTTTCTGCGAAACATGAATAAACGTTCGATACGTTCGTGCGGTTCGACGAACGATACGAATTTTCGCAGCGATGTGAGGTCTCGGTAAATGCAGGTTTTCGGGCCGCGCACGTTTCCGGAACGGGGTACGCGGATCTCTAAAATTAGAGGTATTACGAAAAATGTTCGCGGCGCAACTAGGGTTGCCAACTGTCAGGTTTTCATGCAGCCTTGTCCGGTATCCGGTTGACCCGTATTGACCTCCAAAGAAATACTATAGAGTAGCAGAAGCCATTATAACCAAAGGTGTCTGATTGACAAGTCAAACCTAACGTTATATATTTTTAAATTAATATAATAAAAATTTACATTCTGAAAGAAAATTTATTAGCAGAGTTTGCGGTTTTTTTTTAGCGATCCTAATTTTTTTTCTTAAAATCTCAGGAACGCGTTACGTTTTATTGACGTATGATGTTTGATGTGTAACCATTATTATCAGTATCAGCTTAACATAATATCTAACTTGATACTCGCACTTAACGCGACTAGGCACGTTGCGTCGGAGTGAGGAGGAAAAAAAAGATAAACGAAAAAGTGGAACGGCTACGAGTCATCGTGAAAATCACGAGCATGACTCATTGTGCTCTTGATTATTTTTGTCATAAAGTCTGAAAATACAATTCAAAGGGCTGCGGCCGATATACGAGAAGAGGAGGTGGGGACTCCGGGAGAGCCTTGAGCTCCTGCCAAAAATGAAGAAAACACTTGCAAATGCATACTCGAGACTGCTCCAATTTATCAGTATCTAATGGCTCCATCGAATGTACGCATAGATCTTATGAATAGATTTAATGAATAGATTTATGAATGTACGAAACAAGTTGTGAAGCGAGAACTGTAAAAAAAAAAAGGGATGTTCGCGAAAAGCTCGAAATTCACTTTAAGGCCCGGTCTTTTCTCATTAACTTAAGGTTATACTTTTCTCATTAACTTAACCTAATAATAATATATTTTTCTAGCCATGCTTAATCACCGAACTAATAGGTTTGTAATAACTTTTAAAGTGATCACTATAAAATCATCAACAAAACAACATTAGTTTAACGATAACTAATGGTAGCTAGAAAAACACGATGAGAGAGAGAGAGAGAGAGAGAGAGAGAGAGAGAGAGAGAGAGCATTAAGTTTAGCTGCGTTTGAATTATATTTAGAAAATCATATAATTAAAATACATTTATAAAAGTATAATATATATACTGTATAATCTATGTGCTACGTTTGTAGCATACATTAGTAGCACATGTAATTAAATTATTAAGTTATACTATATTTCGCTTTTCATTTCCTAAGGCTTACTTTATATGTAATTCAATTGTGATCTATCACATGAAGTGCCAATATTGATAATAATAATTTAATTTCCAATAAACATATCTTTTTAATAACACGAACTTTTTTAGCAAAACGATAAAATAAATTAATTTTATTTGTTTCGTATTCAACGAGGGATTTATTATAAATGTACAAAAACGAAATGTTATCGTTATGATATTATGATATTCGAATTACTTGCTGCAGGTATCACTTATTCAACTTCGATAAGATTAGTAATCTAAAGGAATTTTGAGCTCGACCATCGTTTCATTCTTATGTAAGTTACTTTTGACAAACGAGAGTATCGATGACTTATGATACTGTTATTCAATTCTTTAGTTACTTTTGTAAGCTCAAATTCTTTTTTTCACTCTTCGAGGTGTTTTATAAACATAAAAAGAAAGACTTGACATACTTATGTCAGATATACTCTTAGAGATATACATAAAGAAAATTATT